AACTGAGACCAACAGAGGTGCCTCTGTGTCAAAGTTGAACTGTTTGTGTGTGGCTCTATTTATTGTCTGTAAGTAGAAGGAAAATACCCCACTTCTAATTAATGAGGAAAATGTTACATGTACATTTACTTTGGCTTGGCTAAAAAGCTGTTTAAATTTCATTTAGCTAAATAAATATTATTCTGTATGTCAAATTTAAGCCTGTTTAAACCTGACTTATTGGTTTAACTTGCACCTGTAACCAATATAACTTGCTTGAAATCCATGTGAAAGTGCCCACACAGGGATTTGTGCTGGCTTGATGTTTTAATATTAAGTTAAGCTGCTGTAACTTGTAGGTGTAGACCTCCCTTTAGTAGCCTCCAGCAGTAAAAGTGATGTCTTTTGGTCTTACTAATGACAGTAGCCAACATTTAAAACTTGACTACATGCTGCCCACTCCGTTCACACCATTTGGAGCTTTTGCATAAAACCGCAAGTTTGCTGGCAGGGTATCTATCCTGTTTCTTTTAAAAAAATGAATGTTTTACACCTGACCGCATCTGTCTCAAGAGCTCACAGCCTACACACTTGTTTTAAATACATCTATCAAGACAGCCCACAATAGTGCCATCTCAAGACTTCCAAAATGTTGAACACAAAATGCAATTACACAGCACAAGAGTACCAAGGAAAGCCATCTGCTCAAAGTAATTGTCTGTGTGCATGCAGTAGCTGGGGTGATGGCAAGAATTGGAAGGGACTCTATGTTCTGTAGTCCAGCCCATCGTGAACTTCTAACCTCTGGGCACATCACTGCAGATGTTTCTGCTTTCCCCCTAAGAAGGAACTGTGCATCCTGTAATGGTAAGATTTCATTATGTAAATAATGACATGCCTGATACCATGACTTGGGTCATAGGATTATTACGGTTGTACCTGTTACCTAAACGAAAGCGGGCTTTCAGACAAAGCTGTAGGCTTTGAGGGAGTGCTAAGGTCTATATTGATTGTACTCCTACTGCCTTAGCCTTCACCCATCCCTGACTATTGCCCTGAAATCCCTTCCCAGCATGTGGGGGGTTACCAGCAAGACTTGCAGTGGAGACTGTCATTTCAAGTGGCCTGATTAAGAAGTAAGAATGGGTGGCTGTGGAGGACTGTGTGCCTCCTGTGTCCTTAATAGCCTCTGTTAACCACAGTAAAACCACTAGGATTTATAATTCCATTATAAGGCAAAAATTTATTTTTTTAGTTTCATTATAGTATGCAGTCATTCACTCTGTGATCTCATTGAGTGAGCTCTTTTTCTTATCCAGCTCCCCTGAATCCTCCTGAAACAGCTGGATGGCAATGAGATGTTTCTGTTGTGAAGTACCTGGGGACAGAGATTCTCTAGGTTATCTTAATTTGGAAATCTAACTGTACCTTCAACAATCAATTTTTTAATAGCAACCACTTATTTCAAAAGTTTTTAGTCCTTTACATGTAGAAAAGCTCAGCTATGATTTTTTTCTTTTTTGTGCTTCTCTTGCATTGAACCATTGACTATCAGAATATAATTGATTTAATTTATGTAGATGAAATTTATAGTTGTGTTTTACCCATCCATTTCTAGAGGTGGTGTGTTGTTGGATACCATTGTGGCATAATATAGACAAGACGTTTATTGTTCTAGTAGAACACAAGTGCTTAATCACACAAATAATGATGCAATGGTTGTGGTGGTTGGAGTCTGCAGTCAAGAGATGTGATATCAGGTTTTGGCTCAGCTGTGGATATGTGGCTTAGCCCCAGTCAGACAGTTCTTCCTCCAGTGGAAATGATCTATTCTTCTTTTAGAAGCATTGTGAGAATAAAACCCTTTAGTGGTCAGATAGGCTGTTTCGGGGGGTGGTACAGTAACATCAGGATCTAGGTGTCTACTAGTTAAGTAGTTGTCATATAATTAAAAAAAACCCTGCAGTTTTACACAGAGCATTACTTGTTAATTACTGTATGGCTGCCTTTATACTTTTGCCAACAGAAGACAGAGATGATACTCTCCTATGCTATATATTATGGAGGATGGTAATACTGACAATACTGAAAAACCAGATCAAATCTCTTCCCCTCATACATTTCATGCTCAGCAATTTTCAAGGGATAGGCAGAACATGCAGTGGCTTTTCTCAATTCTATATTTTGAAGAGATGACTAAAAAATTTTTAAATAACCAATGTAAAATTTACTTTATTTTCGTCCTCTTGAAAGAAAACCTAAGTCAGATGAAGTTGGAAGAGCTAGATAGCTGGCTCTGTCAAAAATCAAGCCAGTAATTTAAGCATTTAAAGAACAATTTGGGGATGGTCAAAAAGGACAAACATGCCCAAAGAGGGATTCTAGAAAAAGTTAGGTGCCAAAGTACAAAGTTGTGCTCTTGAAAAACACTGCTCAACTTCTGGCCAACTCTCAAAGCACGTAAACCAAACAAATGCTCTACTCTACCTTTTTTTTCACTTTAAATACATAAACAGTCTTGGGAAGAAAGACTGAACCTAGGGTGACCCTGGCTCATGTGTGGCCTGACCAGCAGGTTAGAGAGCCATATATCTCCTTGTATTCTCTCTCTGGTTTACTTTGGACAACTTTGGGTTTTGTGTGATGGCACACCTCTAGCAGGAAGGGTTGAGCCTGCCCAGCTTAGCCCCAGAGCTAACTGTTAGGACACCTGCGACAATGCCAAGCATTGGTTCAAGGCCAAGGGCCGCTGCGTACCCACCTTCCCCTTTTTCTTCAGTGAGTGCTCTGGCTGCTTACTGTTGTGTGGAAGGAGTAGTTTTTCCCCGATTTGTTGCAAACAGGAGCTCTGCTCGATTCCTGGAAAAACAGAAGTGTGTTCCATCAAGAAGGGGTTCTTTACCACCAAACTCAAACAGGGGGATGTGCTTTCTTCTGGCTAGGAGGAAGGCGCTAGCAGGACAGGATTGATGCTCACCCCTCTGCTCACATTTACTGTTGGCTGACTTGCACTGCTGTGGCGTGTGCACTGACTTGTAGAAACTCCCTGCTTGGTGAGCTGAGTTTATTTCATGCAGGGTCCTTCTCTCAGCTTCAGGGAAAAATGTCTCATGTCTAAATCCTTTGTTGGATGGGATGAGAAAGAATCTGGCTGTAGGCATACATTTAAAACTAATAGTATCTTTGACTGAATGGTGCATTTTGAAGGCCCTCCAAGCAAAACACCACTGCATGCTTAGAGCAGCCTGAGCCCTGCAGGACTTTGAAGCTGGTTCTATGGAGATTTATCCAATATGGGACACTTTTCCCACATTCCCGTGCTGGGATACAATACGCTGTGGTGCTGGAGGGTCCCTGACCAGTTAGTGGTCTCCTAAGTGGATCTGAAGTGCACGTGGGAGTTAGCAAAGGCCAGCAATGGGCAGTTTTCACAGACGACCTCTGGGAGATTGAGACACTTCACTGGCATAGATATGGGCCAACCTCTACTAGTTGGCCTTGGCACCCGGGAGCCGGGCTGGGTATGGTCAGTTCAGTAGTGCAGACCTAGCCTGAATGAGCAGCATTTTCTCCTGTTTCTGGGAAGTAGGAGTTGTGCCAGGATACGTTGGCCCTGCCTTTTGCTGAGGAAGGTGCATGCCTGCCCATGCCATGGGTGTGAGCTGGCTGACTGAGGTGGCACCAGCAGGGCCAGCAAAGCTGCCACTGCCTGGTGTCCCTTGGGTGGCTGGACCACGGTGACATCTGCAGGGCGGCAAGTTCACCGGGACCTTAGCTCAGAGCACTCTGTGCTTGTTGTAACAGTGGCATTTGGGAGGGGGTCAGGGTGCGCTAGTACAAAGGGTGAAGGACATCAGTCCTACCAGGACTGAATTCACAGTATGCGGTGATATGGTAGGTTTGAAAGAATTGATATTTGGTATTTGTGGGTGAATTAAAGCAGGTATATAGTTCATCGGTGCTTTACATAACCGACGTTTAAAAGTTATGTTACGTGCAACATCTTCTGAAAAGAAATTTTCCAAATTCCTGCATAGTTTCTCTTCAAGGACTATTTCAGCTCTACTCTTGGCTTTTTTTTCTAGAAAAGTTGCTGGATGTACTTTGTTATTGTTTGTCACATTTCAAACACTTGTTATGGCCAGGCAGGAGTGGGGCTTAGTCACAGATAAACAGTAAAATATTGATTTCTTCTCTTCTTGAAATATAACCTATAAAATTATTTCTGAAAACTTGTAACAGAGTATTTTGTGCATCTTTCAGGTAAATGGGTATTTGATAATTAAATGCATAGTAGATGTATGGTACAATTTAGAGTTTTCTGTAGGTGTTCAGCTTTTTGTCAGTGTTCAGCTACCACGGGAAGATTTATTTTTAAAAGGTGTAGGGACTGATCTTAAAGTTCTTGGAAAAATTGCCTCATAATTTAATGTTTGCTATGAACTTCATTTCATTAAACATTTTATGTGGTCTGTGCCAATTAAGTCCATTAGCATTACCATGAACCGGTAACCTTAGGGAAAAAAAAAAATGGTTATACTTTAAAACATAAAAGCAGAGTTATTAACAAGAAGTGACTTATCAAGTGTAAATAAAATGACCTGAACAAAATGTGCGTCATTGTACATGCATGCCCTCGTTTACCATCTGGTTTCTGTTTTATGACCCTTGCTATGGATTTATTTTGTGCTAGTGGACAAACAATTGGACAACACTTAAAAA